GGCGATGCCGTGGTCTGGTCGGGAAGTCTCCCTCCCGACCTGGGGAGGGAACGTGCGTGACTCTCCATAGTGAACCGAGTGACGACCCGAACGGGAGAGAGATGACAGCAACCAGAATGAGAATCAGTATGACCAGAATAAGAATGGAATCCAGAATGATGATGGGCGGGACTGTAGGGCCTTTATATGGGGTCGGTCCAACCGGCCTCTGACCTCTAACCAAATATCACTAAACTGGTTAGATCGGGATAGCTGTGTGCAGGTGTGGTCCTGCCCAGGTGTCTTGGTTAGGTGAGGTTGTAGGTCAAGTCACCTGCTAACTCAAGTAATTAGCGGATGAGATCAGGTCCCTTGGGTCCTGACCCAAGGTGTGTCAACCCGGAATGTGGTGGTACCATGAGGTCTGTAGTGTACTTGCTGTTATATGTGACATAATTCTGGGCTGTAAGCTTCGGTCTGACAATCATTCATTACACAACGCTGCTGTAAAACTTCTATCGCATGGCGCTCTTCTCCTGTACTAAGGATAGCCGTCTTCTCCACTCTGAGTATCCGTTCTCAGGTCTTTTGGGAAGTTTTTGGTGCAACGTCCATCTTTCATGCATAGAGAGTGTCTGTTGAATGGTCCACATGGCCCATGAATCATTTTCTTCTTGATAATCTCATAGAGAACTGGATCTTCTTCTGGATCAGGAAACTCTGCTCGTATGCAGTTGTCAATCATGTTCGGTCGAAGTTTCTCTTTCAGCTGTGTCAAATGGTGTAGCTCTTATTGGCGACCTGGGGTGCAATGGTAAGAATGCTCGCCGCGCCAGCAAGCGGACCCGGGTTTGATACCAGAGAAAGGTAAACAAATAGACAGACAGACTTCTTTGTCTATATATATATATATATATATATATATATATATATATATATATATATATATATATATATATATATATATAGATCATCACTATATATAACACCATCCACCATCACTACATATAACATCATCCATCATCACTACATATAACACCATCCACCATCACTACATATAACACCATCCATCATCACTACATATAACACCATCCACCATCACTACATATAACACCATCCACCATCACTACATATAACACCATCCACCATCACTACATATAACACCATCCACCAGCACTACATATAACACCATCCATCATCACTACATATAACACCATCCACCATCACTACATATAACACCATCTACCATCACTACATATAACACCATCCACCATCACTACATATAACACCATCCATCATCACTACATATAACACCATCCACCATCACTACATGTAACACCATCCACCATCACTACATATAACACCATCCATCATCACTACATATAACACCATCCACCATCACTACATATAACACCATCTACCATCACTACATATAACACCATCCACCATCACTACATATAACACCATCCACCATCACTACATATAACACCATCCACCATCACTACATATAACACCATCGACCATCACTACATATAACGCCATCCACCATCACTACATGTAACACCATCCACCATCACTACATATAACACCATCCACCATCACTACATATAACACCACCCACCATCACTACATATAACAACATCCACCATCACTACATATAACACTATCCACCATCACTACATATAACACCATCCATCATCATTACATATAACACCATCCATCATCACTACATATAACACCATCCATCATCACTACAATATAACACCATCCACCATCACTACATATAACACCATCCACCATCACTACCTATAACACCATCCACAATCACTACATATAACACCATCCATCAACACTATGGATTGGTAAAGTAGTTTCCGAGATTCTCGTGCGGACACACACACAAACAAACACACAGACATGCCAGGTGACAAGGCTAATAGGAGAGGACAGCACGTGTCCACAATGTTCCGGTCATAAGGCAGTGACCCTTACTAATCTTCTTAATAAAAAAAAAATTACCATGCCATCTCTTACAAAGTTGCTAAGCTTGTTCCACTCATCCACTACCTTGTTTGTGAACCAGTTTCTTCCTATCTCCCTCCTAAACCTAAACTTATCCAACTTAAATCCGTTACTCCGAGTCCTATCCTGCTCGGATATTATAAGAACTTTATCTATATCCCCTTTATTGATTTCTTTCACCCACTTAAATACTTCTATCATATCTCCCCGCACTCTTCGTCTTTCTAGGGAATGCAAGTTTAGTTTCTTTAACCTATCCTGATGTGGAAGGTTTCTAAGTCCCGGAATCATTTTCGTCATTCTTCGCTGCATCGACTCTAGTGAATTGATATCCATTCTATAATAAGGGCACCAGAACTGAACCGCATAATCGAGGTGCGGCCTGACTAGCGCAAGATATAGTTGCAATAAGACCTCTGCACTCCTATTACTTCCACTTCTAGATATAGAACCCAATACTCTGTTTGCCTTATTTCGAACATTAACGCACTGTTTTCTAGGCCGTAGGTCCGGGCTTACAAGTACCCCTAGGTCTCTTTCACAAGTCGACTTCTCTAGGTTGATGTTATTAAGGCTGTATACATTGTCAGTATTTGTTCTTCCAATATTAAGTACGCTGCACTTGCTGGTGTTGAATTTCATTCGCCATTGGAATGCTTTGGTGAATCTTTCTGGACAATTTGGAACACAAGGATTAGACATAGATGCATACACAATGCCTTTACACATGTTCACTTCTTCATTTGTCAAATTACTGAATTTCTCCAAATTACCAAATGCTCTGGCTGGCTCTGGCCATCAAAACTTAAACCATAACCGAGGGCACACAAGGTATAATTGTCTAGTTGTTTACAGGAGAGATTCACAACACAGTTGTGATTGGCATCTTATCCTATGACCTGACTACGGACATCTGATGTGCTTAGAGATGGCATGGTCATTTTTTTTTCTATTTAGAAGACTAGTAAGCGTCACTGCTTTATGACCGGAGCATTGTGGACACCTGATGTCCCCTAGGGACTTGATCTCACTCTCCTCTACTGTATATATTAGCCGTGTCAAGTATTACTCCTTAGTCTGTACTCACCCCTGAAGATGTGAATTACACGAAAGCGCTTGGGAACTTCGTGTTTTCTTGTTTCCTTGTGGTTATCAGCATATACCTGGATCACGCGCACCTACAGTGATTTTCTTGCATATCGATCTGTAGTGATGATGGATGGTGTTATATGTAGTGATGATGGATGGTGTTATATGTAGTGATGATGGATGGTGTTATATGTAGTGATGATGGATGTTTGTTATATGTAGTGATGATGGATGCTGTTATATGTAGTGATGATGGATGGTGTTATATGTAGTGATGATGGGTGGTGTTATATGTAGTGATGATTAGACAATAAAATGATAACAGTTTAATGCTAAAAAAATATACTTTGCTGTACCGTTGTAGTGAAAAACATGTTGGAACTTACATACACCGTTAATGAACAATTGATGGAAGAAGAAGTTTTGGGGACTGAACAGTGAGACAATGTGGAGCCTCCCGGAGGGTGGCGTCCTACCATTGCCTAGCGAAAATGAGGCTTCGGCTGATGAAAAGGAATTTAAATTAAGAATTACTCTTTAAATGTATATTTCCAGTTACTTAAGTATTTTACTTGTGTAAATAAGACTTGACCATTATTACGGAACCTGCAAATACAAATCCTGTAGAACTCTTGCAGAAAATGTCCTTTATTCCTTAGGTCACTATCATCAAACTACCATCCAATCATTTTAATATTGTGGGAAAACATCTTGAAACCCGCAAGCTGATTAATGAATATGAGTGCGGCTTTACCAGAGGGTGTACTTGTCTGACTAATCAATCAATTATGAATATTTTCAAGAGTTGATGGACACGATTATGATGTGATATACATCGACTTTAGTAAATCTTTCCACGGGATCCCTTATGAAGGATTAATACGGAACGTGGAGTCACATGGCATTTGAAAGGCTATTCTAAACTGGATTAGCCTATGGATAACTAATAGGAAACAGAGTCAGCATATTTGATACAAAATTCGATTTGGGTAACGCTATGAGTGGCGTACCCCAAGGCTCAGTATTCGGACTGATACTATTTCTTATACAGTATATATTAACAGTAGATGGTAACAGTAGCATAAGTAAATTTGCTGACGACACAAAAGTAGAGGGAGTAATTAAATCTAATGAGGACTTAGAATAATTGCATGAAGACCTAAACAAACATTTAGTATGCACTGGTAAATTGCAGATGCAATTTAATGTGGAAAAATTGAATTTTTTTAGGTGAGGGGCGGAAACAGGGGAAAAAACTGTATGAGCTGAACAATATAGACAAAGAGACATCCGATTGCGAGAAGATTTAGGGATACTGATAAGTAATCACCTAAAATCAAGAGAGAAATGCACTTACGTACGAAAAAAGGCTAACAAAATACTAGGGTTTTTATCTAGGAGCATTACGTTAGTAACAGGAGAAGTGATGATATCGTCCCTGTGAAACCATACTTGAATTATGCGGTTCAGTGTTGGTCACCGTACAAAGGAATGGATATTGATTCACGAGAAAGCACTCAGCAAAAGACAACAAAGTTAATTCCGTGTATTAGGAAGCTTGAATATAGAGACATATTAAGATTTTTTTTTTATTTCCTTGAGAGACACAGAGTGAGGGACGAGATGATAAAGGGAGTTTCCTTCATTCATGTGTTCTAAGATAATCTCGTTTACCATCCTAGCCTCTCTTTCCTTCTAACTTTTCGTTGTTCTCATCTTTCTGTCTCATGTCAGACCCATTTAGTTCTCTGGAACTATATAAACGTATAACAACTTCAAGTGTACGTTGAAGTATTTTGGTACTAACTAGTAGGTGTACAGTATGTGACTAATTAGAAGAAGAAATATAGCTTTGATCTCATATAAAAGTATGTGATAGCATCAACGTAAGGTACTTCGTTTTCACTAACCTCCATATTTTTATATATTTCTTGAACATCAGGGTCAGAACTTCCGTTGAAGTAGAGGAAATTGGTTCCTATTAATTCATTGGAACCCCAGGACCAGTCGTCTCGGTCGAGGAGATCCTGGAAGGTGTTAATGGGCGGGTACTTGCTCTGGACGGAGAGGTGGGCGATGAGGGAGGAGCGGTAGGCTGTAGTGACGATCACACACACCAGGAGCCACCACCCCAACAGTACCTGCATCAGGAGCTACTGTATTATTGTTTGACATAAACATACAGTAAGGTTTAAAATGCCTTCACAATTACCATAACATGAGAGTATAGCCAGGTAAGTTGCAGGTGAACTCGCTACACGTCAACAGTAACCATGAGTTTTGAATAGCATGTTATTTTTAAACTAATCGATTTTAAATTGTACTACATTGATTAATTCCATTGTAGATTTATGTCGTATAAAGTTACTAAACATATGATTTAACCTATAAAGTTATCATATGAATTACCAAGGATATCTTAAGCTGATATCACTCCAAATATATGAAAAAAATATAGTTAATCCATTTTGTGGAAACTACCCAAATTAACACTGAGAACATGGGAATAATTGGCCTTTAAATCATTGCTTGGTGAAGAAACACAAAAATCACAGACAGGAAAATAATGTTATCTACATGAGATAGCGATGATATTTTTGGAACAAGTCACATTAGATACAGTTTTATTTCACACTTTACACTTTTTTTCATATGCCAGTGCAAGCACATGTATGGTAAGGTTTGTTCTTCGCAAGAGAAAAAATTAAATAAAAGTAAACTAATTATAAAAGCAAAGGTTAGTAGTCATGTTAAAAGTCTTAGGGACACGAGAGGTCATTTTATTGAATAATGTTATAAGATCGTAGTACAATAAAAAGAATTTTAGTAACTATTTAATTATCTTTAAATAGGTTATTCAAATGACAATTTAGTTTATCAGTTAACCAAATAAATAGGACCTAATTAACGTTATTTTTATTGCCCAATCCAATTAATGTTTTTTCTTCTATAACTCAGCCCTTTGTTCATATTAACATCGTCTTGTTCTTCTTTATGATAAAATTAGGGTAAATCTTAACATATGGTAACTAATATACTACATAGTTCCTACCCGGCCAGTGGTGTTGGTGGGCAGTGTAGGGATGGGCTCTAACAGCATTATTCCCCAGATGTGGATAACTGTGGTCACCAGGCTGACACCAAGCTTACCTGACGCCCACGACCATGCCATCTGCAGTAGCCAGAGGATGATGCCCAGGACTGATGTGCACACTGTGATCGACATCCAGACCTCACCTGAGGTGAAAAGAAATGTCATGTAAATGACATTAGAGTGTGATATTATTTTTTCCTTTTATTCACTTATCTACATCTCCAATCATGAATATAGTCAGAATTTAAGATTTAATATATTTTGCTCGTTTGAACTGATGAATCACACATGTGCCAAATCTTTCATTTGGTTAAGGTCATTCTTCAATATATTAATTTTCTACAAGCTCATTTATAAGTGTTATTTTCTTATATAACCACAATCAAATTATTTTGGAAAGATAATTTTTATAGGTGATATTTTTCATTAAAAAATACAAATTAAAAGACTAATAGTTAGCAGGTATGTGTTCCGTTATTATAATTCCTCACCAAGAATTAATTTGGGCGGCCGAATTATTAATATCTTAAAAACCCTCTTTTTCTAGACCAGAGTACCACATAGTTTAGTGCGACGGTCGCAGTAATGATCGCAGGTTTATGATATGTTCCAAGTAGCCTTACAGTTACTTAAATTTTCATCAACACAGATAACTTTGTTTTCCGTTCAGAAGTCACTTAATATTATTTTATGTTCACACATATGCTCGAGTCAATGTTACGTTCACCATAAAAGTATAAAACATCACAGGAAGTCATATAATTCATCTACCAATCAGAGTGACATAAAGCTCAACAACAGAAGCGGCAATAAACACCTCCAGAACAGACCAGCGATGGGAAATACAGGTCTTTACCTTTAAAGGGTCTGGTGAGCGACAGGTGCCGAGGTAGAGATGAGGGCTTAAGAGACAAAATAATATAAGGATCGTAATTGTAAACCCTTGAGTGGTCCATGACGCGGCTTCTTGACTCTGAGAGCGTCAGATCGAGGGAGAAGTCCGCCTTCTGGTGCTGCAAGTCGCCCACGATCCCTGTCCAGTTGCCGTCGTCTGCTGGAGTCCCCCACTTCTCATCCAGGGGCTGACGCAAGACGTACCTTGATGGGTCATGTAATGCAATTAGAAATAACAAAAAATAATAATTATATAACTATTCAAATTCTCTGTTACTCTTTCCTTGAACACCATTACAGTAGTAAATGTACATAATGAAATAAAACTAAAATAAATAGATATATACGCATACACACTTATACTTAATATATATATATATATATATATATATATATATATATATATATATATATATATATATATATATATATATATATATATATATATATATATATATATATATATATATATATATATATATATATATATATATATATGAGAAAATCGCCCTAAACGTTCCAAAATAACTGCTGATTGGAATAAACAATGAAAAAAAATCTAGTTTACAATTATTATAATACAAAATTATGCCTCGGCTTAACACTACCCCCTCCCTAATCCTTGTGTCGCCCCGACACAACTGTTCACGAAATACATAATAATACTGATCTTGGTAGGTCTCTTCTTCTTCCGCTGCTACCGCCGACGTACTAGAATGTCTTCAGAGTTCTTCCTTGGCGCGGCAACCTCCGTCACATCTTCAGATTGGTCCCCCTCTCCTGTCACGTCCAATTCTGCTGAGAGGGAACAGTGTTCCTCTTCCTGGTCCATGGTCGGGTTCTCTGGATCGTCCTGAGTTCTTCCAGGATCTCCAGTCTGGTCCTCGTCGGTGGTAGGTGGCTGCTCCTCAGAGTCTTCCCAGGTGTACTGCCCTGGCCCATGATACTGCCACAGACGATTGACGTAGACTACCTTCGGCTGAGACTTCTTTCCTTCCCTGATCCGGTAGGTCACATCTGAAAGGCCCTTCCCATGGATACTGCAGCTTCGGTGACTGGCCCTTCTTCCACTGAGGGTTATACCGCCAGACTTTACCACCGTCCTTGTAACAGACCTGGCTTGCTTTGACATCAAGGTTGCGCTTCATCACTTCACTCGAGAACTCAAGAGCTCCTCGAACTTGATGGTGGACCTCCGTCAACCTTTCTTGGAGGCTTTTGACGTAACTGGTGGTTTCTTCAGGAAGCTCTTCATCAGGTGATCTCCCTGTCAACAGGTCCACTGGCAGCCGCAGTTGGTGACCCAACATCAATTTTGCCAGTATGTATCCAGTTGACTATTGGGCAGCCTACCAATACACCATCAGCAGACCAGGCAGCTTTTGGTCCCATTCTGTCTGCCCCGCATCACACTACTTGGCCAGTTCTTGTCCCAAGGTCCAATTAAACTTCCCTACCAATCCGTCTGACTGTGGTCGATATAGAGTGGTCTTATTCCTTCTTTTGCCCAATAGGTTACACCACTCGTTGAACACAGCTGCCTCGGAGTTTCTGCCCTGGTCCTAGTGCAACTCGTGGGGCACACCAAACCGGCAGAAAAACTGGTCAACCATCACCTTGGCAACAGTTTTGGCTTCCTGATTAGAGATGGCATATGCTTTTGACCTTTTAGTGAAATAATCCATGGCCACACAGATGTACTTATTCCCATCTGCAGTGAGTGGCAGAGGACCCGCAATATCCACGGCTACCCTTTCAAATGGTGAGCTTGCAAGGCACACCTGCAGTGGGATGCGCGGGTGTTGCTTTGGTCCCTCCTTAGCGCAGCAGACATCGCATGAACGGCACCATTCTTCTACATCCTTACGCATGTCGACCCAGTGAAATCTTTGCCGCAGACGACTCAGGGTCCTCTTCACTCCTAGATGTTCACTGGCTGAATTGTTGTGTATCTTTTTCAGGATTTCTGACCTCATCTTCCGGGGAAGTACTGTCCTTTTGGATTCTTTAGGGTCATAAGCCTTTTCAGTGCTCTGCGTGGTCAGTCCGGATAGTGTAGCTAGATCCATACATGGAGGGATGAAAAAAAATCTAAACTCCTTACCACAGCCAAGAATTCCTTCCTGGTCGCACAATAATTTCTCTCTGGAGGGTTAAACTTTTTGCTATAATATGCCACTACGTACTATGCCCTGTGGTACAGGGACCCCGCCAAGGACGGGCGGGTCCTCACAGAGACTGCCTGACTACTCCGACTCGGACCAGGGGCCGGTCTCAGCAACATCTACAGTCCTTAAAAGGCCCAGGCCTTCGTCAGGAGAAGGGAACTTCCGTGCACCTACGGACGCTCCCCTTTCTTTTAAGACACCTGAGGACATCATCAGCCAGGGAGCATACAAGTGGGCCCAGGTCCCACCAGACATGTTTGTGAACTGGCACCAGGGAAGACTGGCAATTTTTATAAGTGTAAAGCAGGGGGTGTAGGTTATGTATATAAGCTACTGTGCCGAGTAGCAACCCTGTATATAAGCTACTGTGCCGAGTAGCAACCCTGTATATAAGCTACTGTGCCGAGTAGCATTTATATATATCATCACGTGGCAACACTGCACGTTATGTGGCAACATTGCCCCGAGGCTGCCATATGGCAAGGCAGCCTTAGTCTGACTGTGTGAGCCGTGCATGGCACACGCGAGTCACCACTTGTATTTCTCTCATCCATAATAAACGGACTTCAGTGTTACACAGTGTTTCCCTACCCATCACTGCATTCTTTGGGGGACACTAGTAACTTTCAGGGGGAGGACATAATTCTCTCTCCACGTTCTGACCTAGAGGTCCAACGACGGGCGGACGACTTAGGTTCGGAGTACTTCGAGTTCCGACAGCTCCGCATGTCGAGAGGAGAGATGGTCCCAGCCACGTCAGGAACGTCCCCGATCGTGGCCCTGGACCCCTTCGACTCTCTGGCCTCCTGTTTTGTGCTGTCCACGGCAGGTTCGTCCCGAATGGCAGCGCTGCATGGCGGTAGGAGGGGTGCCCGGGCGGCCGGCCAGGACCTCTTTCCATGGGAAAAGGTGAGCCTGAACCTCCAGTAGATCTGGACGGCGGTTGCTGCAAGAAACAGCTCTCACATTACCTCCCCCTCACCGGCCCCTGTAGTTTTATCCGCCCACGACGACTGAGTGACAGACGAGTTGAGGGAGTTCTTGTGGGCTCTGAAATTAATCCAGTCCTCTCTCTCTCTCTCATGGCAGGCCTCTCAAGTAGCTCAGACCACCCTGACCAAGGATGCCATAGAGAGGCAGAAGGCGGTCCTCGCCTTCTCCACTACGGCAGGACTGGGCCATCTTAGCGCCTGGTTGAAGGCACTTGCCGACATCCCCAACTCCCTCCACCCAGACTCCGCATCCGGCGTCTACGAGGCCCTTTCTACACTCGCTTCCGGACTCGCCTCGGCCTCGGTCTTCAACCATCTCAATCAGCTGGATAAGGCGGTAGGGACCCGGCTGAATCTCCGGCGGGAGGCCTTCAGACACCGGGATGCGGAAGTGTGGCAAGGCCTGTTGTGGTTGGCACCCTTTGCCCCGTCCCTGATCCCAGAGGAGGCCCTGAGGGAATTCTTGGCCGCGCAACCGACCTTCACCACGGTCGCTGCCTCCTCCAGTCGCCAGCCCAGACCAGGCACCCTAAGCCATCTGCTTCAAAATGGACAGCACAGCAGCCTTTTTTCTGTCTTAACAGACAGGGCACAGCCCGCTCAACCTAATTGCTGTCATTCTCGGAGCAGATCTTCAAGGAAGCACACCACCTGTCCTCTCGCCATGTCCCGGGAATCGAGAATGGCTGGGTTGACGCTCTCTCCTGCTTCAAGGGGACGTCATTAGAGTGGACACTACGCCAGAGTGTGTTTCACCCACTGATAGAGCAGTGTGGTCGTCCGGAAATGGACCTCTTTGCCTCTCAGACTTCCGAAGCTCCCAGTTTACATGAATCGGATGACACCGACACCAGAAGGGAGCCTAGACGCTTTCATGGAGGACTGGAACAGGTGGACCTACAATTACTTTTTTTTTTTACGGGGAATAGTCCACCCGGGCACAGGTCACTGACCCACATCAGGGCCTGGGGGGCGAAAATGTAATAATAATAATAATAATAATAATAATAATAATAATAATAATAATAATAATAATAATAATAATAATAATAATAATAATAATAATAATAATAATCAAGAAATACAAAAATGAAAAAAAAATCAATATTGAGAAATTATATAATGTATGTATGTTGCGCTGTCAATAGTAAGAGAAACAACTGAGACCCTGCAATTGTTAAATGAGGCAGAAAGTCAGATCAGAAACCTGGGACTTGGTCACAATTTGTGTGATGCCATATGGCAGCAGGGTCTACCATAAGACTATACATTATGCTTCCAATATCTTCCCAGGCGGTAGTACCTCCCTGTTTGGTAGCTGCCTACTACCTTGCTCCAAGTTCCTGCTGCGGGTCTGCCACAAGCTTTGCAGCTCCTAGGGAAAGGTCCTCTTCCTGGCCCCCTACTGACCGGCTCAACCATGGTTCTCAGAGCTCCTCGGCTGGTGTCCCATATGGGGAACGGGCCGGCTCAATCATGGTTCTCAGAGCTCCTCGGCTGGTGTCCCATATGGGGAACAGGCCGGCTCAACCATGGTTCTCAGAGCTCCTCAGCTGGTGTCCCATATGGGGAACGGGCTGGCTCAACCATGGTTCTCAGAGCTCCTCGGCTGGTGCCCCATATGGGGAACGGGCTACCAACCATGGTTCTCAGAGCTACTCGGCTGTTGTCCCATATGCGGAATGGGCCGGCTCAACCATGGTTCTCAGAGCTCCTCGGCTGGTGCCCCATATGGGGAACGGGCCGGCTCAACCATGGTTCTCAGAGCTACTCGGCTGTTGTCCCATATGGGGAACGGGCCGGCTCAACCATGGTTCTCAGAACTCCTCGGCTGATGTCCCATATGGGGAACGGGCTGGCTCAACCATGGTTCTCAGAACTCCTCGGCTGGTGTCCTATATGGGGAACAGGCTGGCTCAACCATGGTTCTCAGAGCTACTCGGCTGTTGTCCTATATGGGGAACCTGCCGGCTCAACCATGGTTCTCAGAGCTACTCGGCTGTTGTCCCATATGGTACCTGCTACAGAGATCACTTCACTTACACGCATGGAGTTTCTTCGTGCCTCCCTGGGCTGACTGTATTCGCCTAGAGTTGTGGAGAACATGTTGTGAAGACTAAGACCTTCCACTACTCGAAAATAAGAGTCCCGTTGGAAAGCCTTCCAGCAGTATCTCAAGGAGCAAGGATCCTCCACGCCCAGTGAAAGTGTAGTTCTAGAGTTCCTATCATCTTTAGCGCTCGAGTGAAGCAGGTCTATCCCGACCCTCTCCGTCCAGTTGGCTGCCCTCACCGACCCCCTGAATTACGGGTGCGGGTTGAAGGTTAACAACAGGTCGGTTACCCTGCTGAAGCTGGGCCTGTCCCACCAGTGACCACCTGCTAGACCAACCCGGACCTTCTGGTCCTTGAAGAAAGTCCTCTCTCTTCTGGGCTCGGTAAGTACTACTCCTTCAGTCCTGTGAACTATACTGACAACCTAGCCTGAGGACCACTGGCCTTATGTTGTCTGTTTTTCCTAAGTTCTTGTTACTATGAAGGTTTTACCAGGACATGGATTAATCTGATATCTGCCTCACCCCAGGATCCATTCACCATCCGACCGTCAAAAGACCGACTATTACAGAAGGCTCTCTTCCTCTTAGCGCTGGCCACGGGCTTCAGGTCTTCCCAGCTCAAGGCATTCACAATCTCCTTCGCCCAAGGAGATTCTGCAGTGTCCTTGGTACCTTGTCCCACTTCCCTGGCGAAAAATAAGCGGGAAAACCACAGGCTCCAGCCAGTAGCGGTTTACCAAAGGGCACTAGCGAGCTCAACTCACTAAAATAGGGGCTTTAAGGCTTGCTGAAAAGCCTATCATGGTGAGTGAGCGAAGCTAGTGCATGCACTTATCCAGCCCTTCCTTCGGCTCTACCCCCCTGCTATTCCTGATGTAGGTTTTGGAAAGTAATGACCACCTGAATCTAACTCTGGTACACCCTGCACGGCGCAGGCAGTGAGGAGCCCTTCTGCGCAGGTACTCATTCTCTCAAGTTTACAGTTTTCTTCAAACTAGTAGCAGCCTATACTGATATAGATGTGTTAATATTGGCCTTGTCACCTCCAAGGGTGATATCTTAAGGTCTAATATAGCAAAGTGCACTAGCTTTGCTCATTCACCAAAAATAGTCTTTTCGGCAAACTTCGAAGCCCCTATTTGCTTGTGTTTGTGCTGATTTCGTATTTTGAATGGCCCTTCCGCTGTGTTTGACATACTTTTACTTTTACTTTTATCCTCTTCGCCACTGATCGGCTTGTTAGCCGCTTGGGCGATCGGTCACGACTCTTTTCCTTTATATTCTTCACCAAAAGGTCGGCTCGCTAGCCGCCCGGGCGATCGGTCACGTGTCACGTGTTGGCATAGTTCCTGAATGTACCTGAACCCGCTCCACGAAAGAGCTCACAGTATGTCAAGAGTTTACAACCCTCACTCCGCTCACGGTTTTCCGGACTTCAATCTTGAGCTTGACCCCTTCGATCCGCTGGTGCCCCCTGAGATGCTTATAAACCTCAACTAGGTCCCCCCTTGCCCGTCTGTAGTATAAGCTAGGCAAGTTCAGGCGCTCCAATCTCGCAGGGTAGCTGAGATGCCGAAGTGCAGGCACCAGCTTGGTGGCCCTCCTTTGAACATTTTCAACCAACTGACAGTCCCTAGCATATCTCGGGGACCAGATGGGGTGACAGTACTCCAGATATCCATCCCCAGTGTGCATGACGATCTACAGTATCTGTGGTATAGTTAGGATACGATACAGTATGTCAGATTACGCTGGATTCAAGTTATTCATGCTGGTGCATTTTTCATAGTGATTAACTAACTCAAAGAAAATTTATTTTGGCGCCTCTAGGAAATAAAACTGTTATATGTCTGAATAACCATATTTTTTCATGTTAATTACCTTTTTTTGTAATACAGTATTAAGGAACTGGGGCACGCGTTAAACAGTTACTTAAAAAGCAAAATAGAATATAACTTTCTTCTTACCTCAAAAATATCCCCTCAAATTTTGAGGATTTGCTATTTTCGTTTTATTATTGTGATGATTTTTGTTCGTCCTTAAGACGATTTCTTATAGATAAAATGAAACAACCAAACCTATCAAACTTAGCTATATCCTAATGAAAGTTCATTATTTTCGTTTAGGTCAAGTTCAGACTAGGTAGAATTTGTTACGTAAAAAGGTCACTGCGAACTGTCCAGTCGCTCGATGTGAACGGTTTGTCAGCAGCAGAGGCGTTTTTGGGTGGAAGGAACAGATTCATATGTAACGAAAACTATGGAAATACATTACAAAAACTGTAAATTCTCATAAATTGGGAGGATATTCTTGAGCTAAGAGAGAAACTCTTTAATACAAAAACTTCGAAAGTTGCTCATAACCCGTCCCCCTGTCTCAGGGTACATAGCTTTTTGGGTGGCCTGTGGAAGTGTGTTGAAAAAAAAGAACCTACGTAAAGTTAAGACTACTGGCGATGGTGTGGAGCATACGAGTGTTGAGGGAGTCTCGAGGAGCCACCGGGGTGCCCGGCTCTTTGTCCAACTCTATGTCTATGAATGGTAGGTATTGATTCACCACCAGCTGGAATGTGTGGCCCAGGAAGTTGCCCAGATGCTCTGGAAATGCATGTGTGTATAAGTATGTGTACACCGCTATGTCTCTTGATTTTTGTTAAACAGTATTACATAAAAGTTTTCTTATCATAAATTAATTTACACTTGTTATTAAAATAATATAACTCGAGGTACAAAATGAAATGACTGTCCTCTTTGTGCTTATGAACAGGACCTTGAACATAAAACTTGCTGACACACAAAAAAAAAAAAAAGTTTGGCATTGGTGAAAATGTACATTGTTGTATAGCCGACGCACCTGGGAAGAGGTTTACACTAAGCTGGAGTCCATAGGTCAAGTTCCCCCGGTGGAGGAGTTGGACCTGAGCATCACCTTTCTTACAGTACAAACATCGCCCGTACAGCCACACTTGTTCACTCTTACTTCCTGTATAAATTAAAACAACTATTTTCTAAAAGGTTCTGAATAATGTACTCATGGCTGAAATATTGTATACTGAAGATGATAACGAGCATAGAAAGTAATTATAAGTTCATGGCTTTACAATCGTTTTCTTCGGCTAAGTATAATTACTTTATATGGATATCAGCTTATAAATCTATCGTAGCTAAGAAACTTTACAGTGCGTGCAAATGGATAATATTATAATAAATATGAAAACATGAAAATCCAATTTGGGCATAGTGCCTGTTGTTATCAAGCCAGTCTAAATGACCGAGGGTATTTCCCGAGTTGCAACAAACTACCTGACAAGCTAGAGTGCCACAGCGTATGTTAGCTCACATCAGGGATTGGTGAACTGTGGGTTTCTGAGTGGTCATGTCTCACCTTTTCCGGGCTCAGACTCGAAATTGCCTAGCAATCGTATTCGAGTTTGTTTTACAAGAAGACAGCAATGAAGTTATCCCATTTTGTATACATTGAACTTTGCAAGTTACGAAGAAATCTACTGAAAATACGCATTTTAATTTACAGGATAAAGATTAATTTATTCTAAGAGGACTTGTCGTTCCATGAATGAAGATGGAACAATACACAAACGCTGCGTTGTGTGTTTTGCCTAACTTCTTACCTCTAATGATATTTTTCTTCCTCGATCTCATGTTGAGCGATGGTCCCTGGCCTCTGTGGAGGGGGAGGTCATGGAGGGCGAGGTAAAGGGTGTGAATAGTGTTACGAAGACTGTGGTGAAGGAGGACGGTCTCCACTCCATCCCTCTCACCCACCACCACCACAGGAATCTCTGGTCGTCGCCACACTTCACACCACTCCAGGAACCTGCGTCAAAATTCATAAATTGAAATTACTGGACAAGAATCATACACTCACGCATAGGTCAACTCTAGTCCACTTCTTTCCTCAGGATTTAATTTACTTTCAACAAATTTATAAGCTAAGATGGGACCAACTGTTAGATACATGTTATGACAATGGTCAAGTCATTAACATGCAGTGAGATATTATAAGAACAAACACACATATATGATACACTTACAACCTTTTCATACGCATGACCTCCCAATCAAAATATACAAGGAGTTTGCAGTCGAACTTGCCACCCCTCTCTGTTCTATTATTAATGCATCCCTCAGACAAAGCAAATGCCCTAATGAATGGAAAACCGCATTTGTCACCCCTATCCCCAAGGTCACCAACCCACAGTCCCCTAACGACCTCAGGCCAGTTGGCATTACCCCAATACCCAGTCTACTTTGTGAGGACTTTGTTTTTGAGTGGGCATTTGCCAGTATCTATCAGTCAATTGATCCACAGCAATTTGGCAATATGAGGACCTCCTCTACATCACACTGCTTGGTGACCTTTCTGGACTTTCTGCATAAAAACTTGCAGAAACGTAAGACATCACTGGCCGTTGCCCTTGTGGACTTCAGGAAGGCCTTTGACCTTGTTGATCACTGCACTGTTATCAACAAGGCTATTGCACTAGGGCTGCCCACCAACCTAGTCTCATGGCTCACTGATTTCTTGAGTGGACGTCGCCAGGCAGTGAGGTATCAGGGCTTGGTCTCCACATTCCAACACCTCACCTGTGGTGTTCCCCAGGGTACCAAGATGGGACCACTGTGCTTCCTCATCCTGATCAACGAAGCTCTATCGGACACTCCTCACAGGTGGAAGTACGTGGATGACTGCACTGTAGGGGTTTCAGTGGACAACACCGCACCAGACTACTCATCGCTACAACGCACCCTGGACAGGCTACAGGCATGGACTACAGAGAATAAGGTCACCATCAACCACACCAAAACCGTAGTTATGCACATCAATACCGCTACCACTCCAGTGCAAGCCCCAGCAGTCACAATGGGTGCCCATCCTCTCCAGCTGGTTACTGAGTTGACTCAGGCCCATGTAAATAACACAGTCAAGGCAGCCTCGTGCCGTCTCTACATGCTACGACGACTTGGGTCTTGGGACACCCACGCCAGAGCTGAGGACCATCTACAACGCCTATTCTCCTAAACTTATATGCGTCACCAGCCTGGTCGTCTTCTCCTCATCCACCCAACAACGTCAGCTAGAAAGGTACAGAAAAGGCCTGCAGAATCATGCTCGGCGCAGAATATCCGGCTACCCAACGCTCTCTCCACCCTGGAAATGCCATCTAAGCACTGGAAAGGTTTGGCAGTGGACTACTGCACCACCTCATCATACCCCTGCCACCTGCAGCCCCAGCCCAACTCACGCAGTCACTACAACAAAATACAGCCCATAAGAGCCGCACCGATAGATATAAAAACAGCACCATCCCATCTATTGTTAAAATAATAAACAACTCTGATTTATGTACTGTACAGCCCTGTAAGTATTCAATGCATATTATATCATTATGTCTAAATCAAATGTAAGTCTGTATATTTTACCACTGGCCGCTACAATAATAATAAACCGTTTATTATTTTTAGGTTTCAATATTTACATGAAAAAGAGGCTGTTGTTGTTGCCGAGGTTTATGATGAGGGCGCGGCAGGTGAGTGTACCGTTCTCCATCCACAACCCCTGCAGGAGCTGGTCCCTGGCTAGCTGGTCCATGACTATTTCATCTCTGATATTCCAGTCACTTACTGACTCGTTCCTGAATACTTGTTTGTATAAGAACATCCGCCACGCCTCGACAACCATCACACTTTCTCCGCTGCTTACCAACTGCCTGAAAACAACGTCTCGCATCTGCATTTTATAAAGATATCAGACCTCTTTCCACAGGTAACATATGACAACCATACATTCCTTTAGCGGGATGACATAAAAGAGCCTACTATAAACACAATAAATAGCCCACACCGTGAGTTACCTTCTCTATGCATGACTTTTTGCACACATTCAACACACATTTCTGACAAATGATAGCCATTAATATTTAAGACGAACGAGCAGCCCAAAACATGATAGTCCGTGTTCAACTTAAATATGATGTAAATTCGTTTCCCTCATTCCTCCTAATGGCCTAACAACTCTCTAGGGGCAGTGTAGATACAGTACACGAGGCCTATGGTACACACAGAGACAATTTACTCGGAACTACACTCGACCATCCAGATTCCCACAACACTTTCCTGGCCTCAGCAGTATTGGCCCTTGCTGATCCAGTCTGTCCTTGTGGGCAAAGGCCGTTCCACTTACTTGTCCCTAACCTGCTCTCAGCAAAACGAGTATTCTGTGGTCAAGGAAGCCATTTTGAAATCTTACCTGTTGACAACAGAGTCATATGGAGATAAGTTTAGAAATACATTCAAATTGCCCGATGAGTCATATAACGAATATGGTCACACTGTCAATAAGAGCAGTATTTGAGAGGTGTCCCCACAGACGTCCGTATGTACGTTTGTGACAAGGAAGTTACAACTATTGAGAGAGCTGCCTTTTTGGCGGAAAATTTCAGTCTTATTCATAAACATAAAGTTAATGAGGTTCCAGGCCCAGCCGTGACTCCACCTCAAGGGGGTAAGCTCCCGTTTGGTAACAGCGATAATAAACCCTCTTTTGAGAATGTTGGCAGAGGTTCTGATGGTCATGGTGGTAATGGATCTAGGGGGGTTACGACTTGTGTGTGTTTTTATTGTAGAAAGCCTAGTCACTATATTGCCCAATATCCTAAGCTCAAAGTAAGGAGTCCCATGACACGCCTGTTGTTAGTTTTGCATTTGTCTCAGCAGATAGTGTTGGTGTAGATGATGTTGTTGTGGTTTCTGACCCAGTTTGCGTGGACCCTAAGGATTTGTTCCAGCCCTTTCAGTTTCCTGGTTTTGTGTCCGTGTCCGAGGGTAGACCTGCTGTCCCTGTGAGTATTTTGAGGGATACTGGTGCTTCACTTAGTATTTTTTTGAAAAGTTCTCTTCCATCTGTGTAAGAGGCTTATACTGGTGAGCATGTTGTGTTACAGGGCGTTAGTGGACCCACTTGCGTTCCTTTGTGTAAAGTATGTCGTCGGACGGACATTTTGTCTCAGCCAGTTACAGTAGGGGTTCAGGAGGTTTTGCCAGTGGCGGGAGTAACGTTCCTCTTGGGAAATAATATAGCTGGTAGCCTTGTTGTTCCAGATCCAGTTGTGTGCTCTGCACCTTTGAGTAATAACCCTGCTGCAGACCTTGTGAGTAAGTGTGTTGGGTTATTCCCTTCTTGTGCTGTAACCCGTAGTCAAGCTAAAATGGTGACATATGGGACAGACGTGAGTGATCAGTGTGATGTTTTTCCTGATTATGATTGGAATGGACTGTTTGATGTTAAGCCAGAGCAGTTAGATGCAGGTTTAGTAGATCAACCTGTGAGTGATGTGTCAAGTGATGTAAAGAGAGACTCTAATGATCGTATGAATGTTGATTTCAGTAGCCTTCCTGTCACAAGAGAGATGTTGATTTCTGCTCAAGAGTCTGACCAGTCGTTGGTTCCATTATTTGTTAGGGCCGTATCAAAACCAGAGAGCCATTATGAATCTCGTGTTTCCTCAGGAAAGCAGATTTTTGCCGTACCTGTCATATATGCCAGTTTGCTGGTAAGCCCAATGAAGTGGTGCCACCTGCACCTTTAAAACCTATACCTGTTGTTGATGAACCATTTGTAAAAGTAATCATTGAATGTGTGGGACCTCTTCCTAAAACAGAATGAGATAATGAATATTTGTTACCGGTGATGTGTACTTCCACTAGATACCCGGAAGCTATACCTGTGCGGGCACTTGGTATCTATTATATTATATCTTGGTTTATATTATATCTATTGTATGTTGTCAGATGTACTACACAGTCTAGTTTGGGATTCTCACCAAGTGAACTGATATTTGGCCGAGATATCCGTGGTCCCTTGAAACTATTATATGAGAATTGGGTTGAAGAAGATGAAACTGCAGAAGATAAAAAATTTAATGTCGGGGATAATATGCATTTGTTCTTGCCTAGGGGGAAGTTTCCTCTACAAGCTAAGTGTCAGGGTCCCTTTGAAGTTTTGAGTAAGGTAGGAGATGTTAACTATATCATAGCCACGCCTGATAATATGTTACATAAATTTATTGGTCAGTGGCCCAAGGTTAAAAATGCTTTGAAAACCTTTGATCTAGATGTATGATAGTTATTTTGTGGGTCCCTTTTTTCTGACCTGACCTGGCTAGTCACGTCACCACCCTTCTCTTAAGCTCCTCTACGTGTGTGTTGGTGTGGGGATATATGGATGTCATCATTATGACCTGACCTCATGTTCTTAGGTCACCCTGTATATTTAAGCCTCTCTCTGTCCATGTAATCCAGTTGCCTCTGAAGATGTCTTGAATAAAGACGAAAGCTAAGGTACTCCGTTGTTTTCCATTTTCCCGTGTGATTTTATCAAGATATATATATATATATATATATATATATATATATATATATATATATATATATATCAGACGGGAAAAGGGAAAAGATGGAACACCTGTATATATAAAACTTAAATATCGTCAACTACTTTAATGTCGGCATTTATTATATGAATTAAGTAATTGTATTAATGTGAAGTAGACAACAAGAGGAACCCAGGGACTAATAGTGTCAGTTCCTCTCTCCAGTATATCCTTTACCCGCACCTCAATTAATGATATATAAACTATAAACGTTTGACTCACCTGATCATAATTGAGAACAGGGGGCTTTGTGTTGTGTCGACCAGCACCAAGTGACATCCAGCTAGGTGCTGCTCCACCACCTGGCCCACCATTTCACTTACATGGTATGCGAAGCCTCCCTTCTCGAAGGCCATTGTCACACCTTCCTCATAAACAGAGTCGACAGCCAACACGGCCATATGATTCACAGGGCCACTAACATATTCCCTCACTATCAACAATGATATTAGTGCAAACATAAGTGAAGATATCGTCATATCTGCTGTAAAAGTGAATAAAGATCTTGTCAATCCTCGAATACTACAGGAAAATTAAAGAATATTACCTCGGACAAAAACCATGAAAGTTTAAACAACTCGTTTGTATTGAAGAATTAGAAATTAACTCTTCTATAAATCCAAAACCAAGATCCATCGTAGGATGTTTTGTTGGGTTGGGGATTAGTCATCATTTGTATACACAGCAAAACTTAAATCTTGAAAGCGTACAACGTTTTTTTTTCCGTTAACTAAAGCCATTTTCTACATGAGGATGAATATTGATATTTAAGAGGTTGTAAATTACATCCACAGTACATGGGGTAAATGCCATACTTCCAAGTTAACGGAGGCTGAAATGCTGAAGGAATGGTCACACTGTGCAAAATCCTAGTTTTAAACGGTCTGCCAATACGAGGTTTGGTGTTGACGTTGCCCTCTCGTTTCCACCGTGTTATCCACCTACATACAGTTGACACGCTTTTGCCAGTCTGCCTCGCAATGTTACGACAAGATATCCCGTCCACCCACATAGACACTAACTTGGCCCGTTCACTCAAATCAGTGGGCTTGTTAGGGCGTCGATATTTCATAATTTTAATCTGTTTAGAAAAGAATATTGTTCCTAATCGAAATCCTAGTGGTTATCACATTCCGATGGTTAAGTAATGAAACGTAATTAGGCTTAATTTTGTCACCAAACACAATGGTTAAATAAGGATCATATCCTTGACCGTTCATGTATTATATTTTTGGGGAGGGGCAACAAAAGTAATATATTAAGGTGATAGTAATGTAGCCTTAAGTCAGAATTAAAAACTTTAACCATGGGACATCTAGACCATGACACTCGCTTTACCAAGTCACGTTTTGGCAAGTAGCTCACAAAACTTCAAATTTTGTGGATGAACTGGCAAGAGAATGCGTCGAGTGAGTCAGTGTTAACTGTGGGTCACGGGAGACACTTGGTGACTGGGCGCGTTGGACGGGAACACTGAAGTTATATCTACCGCGCCACTCCATTTATTTGCTCGCTCAGGTACTCACTAATTGCCAGGTATAAGCAAATTTCCATTGAAAGTTTCAGTACGTTCTTGTATTTTTACACTTTAAAGGAAAAACGAAGCAGGTAGTAGGTAGTAGGCAGCTACCAAATAGGGAGATACTACCGCCTGGGAAGATATTGGAAGCATAATGTATTGTCTAATGGTAGATCCCGCTGCCATATGGCATCACTAATTTGTGACCAAGTCCCAGGCTACTGATCTGACTTTCTGCCTCATTTACACACAATTGCAGGGTCTCAATTGTTTCTCTTACTTCACAACACACATTCTGTATATCGTTTCTCACTTCTGATTTATTTTTTTCATTTTTGTATTTATGGTTATTATTATTGTTTTGTTATTTTTATTTTTTATTATATATTTTTGTTTACTTTTATTATTTTTTTATTAGTTTCAATTGATTATTATTATTATTATTATTATTATTATTATTATTATTATTATTGTTATTATTATTATTATTATTATTATTATTATTATTATTATTATTATTATTATTATTATTATTATTATATTTTCGCCACCCCAGGCCCTGATGTGGGTCAGTGACCTGTGCCCGGGTGGGCTACTCCCTGTAAAAAAAAAAAGTTGTTACTTAAGATAAATATGACTTCTTAAAATTCTAAATGATGTCTCCTGCATCATCAGTAAGTCACATCAGGTTTACCCATAAGCAGTATTGTACAGTCAACCAAAGCTGCATCGATCCCCACCAAGACTATTGTACTCGCTATTTTACTTGGCAATACTTGGTGGAGTAAGGCTGTATGCAATGGGATTATTATTGGTGGATCTACTGTATATTAAACTATACAAAAGTAGTATTTCTATTATAATAAACTATTCATCGCTCTTTAAGATCATTAAAAATTTTCAACTTTTCGTATATTTGCTTAAATAATGAGGAAATTATACTGTATTAATGAATTGACAACCAGGGCTGCCACAAGATTTTCACATCAAATTTTAAAGAATGCATGTTCCACATTTAATCTTGTTTTTCATGAAGAAAATAATTTTCTTTACAATTTGAGCATTACATAATATGATTTGACGTACGTTACACAGCATATACTTCGTTTAATCTAGTTATCAGTGTGTGTGTGTGTGAGGATTTATCAAATAACGTAAACTACTGCACAATAACTGTGTGACCTAATGACTGATATATTTAGTCTGAGTGTAAGTGCAGCAACACGTAGCATATGAACCTAATTCATCATTTGGAATAAATATCCATAAATAAATTACGAAGAAAATCAGTGGCAAAGAACTGTGAAATACTGAATACATTTTTATTGTTCACTGTAAAGGTTTTGAGAGGTAAATAAATATTTGGCGATGATGTATGACGTGTAGATATATTTAAATCAACTAAATTTGCAGTTATGGCAATTATAACACGAATTATAATGTGAAATGTCTCACATTGGAAAAATGAAGTATCAAAATGGCCACTGATGTATGGCCTATAACTTATGTCAAATTATATTATATAATGTTTATATTCCTAAAACAATTAATTCTTTCATGGAATATTCAAGATTAAATGTGGAACGTGTATTTTTTTAAATTAATGTGAGAATCTCGTTGTAGTCGTGTTGCCAATTCATTAATATAATTTTCTTCATTATTTAAGCAAATATACGAACATTTGGAAACTTATCGTAATATTAAATAACGATGAATAGTTTATTTTATAAAATTGTTACCTTTGAATTGAATTGTTTAATATTTATCCACTATTCACAATCGCCATTACATACAGCCTTACTTCACCAAGTATTGCCAGTTAAAATTGCGAATGCGAAAGCCAGGGTGAGGTGTGCTGCGTGCGGCCACCACCCCAACATATCAACTCGCCTCTGCTAGGTGGACAGCCCACCTGCTATCTACCCCTCCTACTTTTCTTCCCGTTTCTATGCTTTACTTCTCTCTCCTCTCCTTTCCCAGTGCAAAGTCATTTCCCACATTATTTCATTATCATCGTCATCATCATCATCAGGGTGAGGTCGTTGCATCTTTGGCTGTCTACACATCACATATAAAGGAATTCAGTTAGTCAAATTTCGTCGCTGAAGTCACTCTGTTTTACCTTGTAGTGAAAGTTTCCCTTTTTCTTCTTGGTCTTAAGTCTTCATAAGTCTTCTACCCCTTACTCTAAAAAAGTTCAAAGTGGAATATAAACTTCTATGGTCTGGCAAAGGTTCTGTTGCCACATTGCGATCTGGATTATTTTGGTCGTGTCCACAACGCGATGGTTCGTTGTTCACAAAGAATTAGAAATGAACTTAGGTTTTTATTGAGACCTGGAGGAAAAAATAAATACAAAATATTTGATTTTACAATCACTGTGAGCCGTTTGGTTAATTCCCATTTAACCAGGTTGGTTCACATATACTATATTAAGCTTTAGTAACGAAACCCAATTGAAGTTTCTTGTTTTATTAGAAAAGTATTATGTTTCTATAATTCCTGAGTGTAGATCAACCGTAAGTTCCACTATTTTTGAGTGTGATGAGAAAGGACGGCGTTTATGTATATAAACGTGAATCAACGTCCTTTCTATATTGAGTAGTGAGTGAGACTGCCTGAAGGAGTCGCCTTGGTGCGCGCTTACATAGATGCTGACATATGGGCTTCGCCCTCTTGGGAAAGCTACCGTTCACGTGTTCAGTTCATGTCCTCACAGACAGTGGAAAATTACAGGGGTGGAATCTGAATATAAATCAGATGTAAATAACCCATTTATATAATACTTTTGTTGATGAGACAGGGGCCATTACATCGCTCGGTCACCACAGGCAAAGCTCCGTGAGGCCTAAATAAGCTCACAGGGTACAGTACATCCTACACAACCCTAACCATGTTATAAACAAAGGTTTAGACACTAAGCTGGGGATTCAGTGACTGTAGGGGTTTTATCTATTACAGGGGCTCTATACTTTAGTGTCTTACAGGTTAAAATGTTATGAACAACTTTCATTTTGGATGACACTGACTTATAATAACAAAACAGAAACATGATTGCCAAAATTAACATAATAGTAGGAATTGTGAGACCAGGTATAGCAAATTCCCTTGATAATTAAATTGGCAAATTATTATTCATATCAGCAAATTTTGTCTCCTTGAAGAATGCAATGACCTTTAGTTTCTCTGAAACAATCTGAATATCCTTTACAGTGAAATTCATGACAGGAAGTGGAATTAAAGAAGACTTGAGTTTTATATTTAAGGCAAAGTGCAAATGAGTAGGCAAGGTCTGTAATGAACCACAAGTGATTTCACAATAATCCCGAGCCTTATAATGACCTTTCGCAACTAGTTGCTTAACAAACCAGGGGAAGGGTTCTAAATGGCATGCATTAAACTGATGTTGCCCTCGCATAGGGATGTGGATGAGAATAGCACTGTGCGTGAGAGTCGACTCCAACTGAGGGTAATAATATTCTACCTCATTATCATTAAAAATAGGAGTTAATTGATACTGCAACTTGGCAATCTGTAAAGCATCAAGAAGCGTCTGCACAGGCACAAACTTTGCATCCACACGCCCTATCCCGGCATCTACTATGCTGTCAATTAGTTCGATATTACAGGTAACAACCTTCTGAACTGAAATTTCCGCAGCATGCAAATATTCTGTGAAATAAAGGAGCCACTCTAACGTTGGGATTGATTTCTGTAAGTTAATAACAACCCTCGATACATGGTTAGACTCCGATATTATCGCATTAACTTTTGACTCTAAAGCAGTAATCACATGAAATGTTTGAGAGATAACGCGATTCTGCTGAGATACAGCTTGATCTACAATGTTCATTCGGCCCCCCAATTTAGCTACATCGTCGGCCGTTGCCGTGCCAAATAGAGTGCTTTGGATAAGACCCACCAAATTAAATAAACCCCTTTTTCGTCGTGTCTGAGAACGCACTTCTTTTGCAAGATCAACCTCAGGCGCTGGTATGCTTTTTCCAACAGCAACGAGAAGCTTGCGAAGGTTCAAGAGACGAAAGTGTAGAAGTTCAATAGTTTGTGAAGCCATCGTCGATACGTTAGTAGCTGAACTGAGACTCTGTAAGATGTCCAATGCTGATTGTAGTTGCGCGTCGACGTTTTCCATCTGACGGGGAAGTTGGAGCAGTCCATGTAACTCATACTTGATGTTCACCACGTCCTCCACTATGAGAACGCGTCCAAGGGGTGCAACAAGCGCACCTGGTTTGAGGACTGATGTGGACATGTCTGTCAACACAACGGTGCCACAAGACAGTAGAAGCAACGCAATGATGTTCCAAGCCATTCTGTAAGAGATTACACACGTGTTAATATCTACTTGCAGAACGAAGTTTCATACAATAGTCATTTGGCACACACTGCTTCTGTACAGTCTGTAAAGAGGTGTCTATCACATCATCATCAACTGTGGGCAATAAATTCTCATGGGTCTTCTTAAGACGGCCCGCATGCACGACATCTGCAATCTTTGCGCTAGGCTTCCAAATTTTAAATTTGTTGCCTGTTTCTTTGGCAATAATGCGGAATTGACCCAAAAATTTAGCCGAAAGCTTGGAGTTCCTTTCAGGTTCTCGTACCATAACAGCATGTCCTACGTTAAACACCACAGGTTTAGCATGTTTATGTTGCTTGACCATCATTTAAGCGCGGGACGTTGCAAAATGTGATCGTACTTGGGTATGAATATCCGTAAAAACACGGATTTGTTTTGCCGCGAAATCATCCATATTATAGATAGGGTTGGGCGTGTCCGTAAGTACATCATAAGGCAGACGTTTATCTGTACCATAGACAATGTAGTCGGGTGATCTGCCCGTAGAGCTATTAATCGACCCATTAATAGACGGTGCAACCTGCGGTAACCAATCCTCCCAAGTGTATTGCAAA